GGAAGGAAGGAAAGAAAGAAATTAAGACAAAAAGGAAGGAAGGAATAAGAAAGAGGAAAGTAAGAAAGAAAGAAATAGGAAAAGGAGGGTGGAAGGAAGGAAATAGATGATATGATTTTTTCTTATGGTATAAAACAGAAAATCCAGTTTGAGCAGAGATGGATGAATGAATGATGGATGGATGATATATGGATGTGTGGATAGATGGATGGATGGATGGATGAATGAATGATGGATGGATGATGAATGATAGATGATGAAACAGCAGGTCTGTAGGTTCAGGCTCTGCTGACTCACACTGTGATGTCACTGAAACTCCTCAGTAAACTCTCAGTTTATGTAACGATCCACGTCGTCCTCTCGTGTCGTGATGGTTTCAGAGCTTCATGTTGTGTTCGTGTCCGCTGGACGAGTCTGTGACACACGAGGAGAGACGAGCTGGAAACCTCCCCTCAGCAGGGAACCTTCATCGTCTCCATCGCTGTCCGTCCACGGTCGGAGCGGCCGCCTCATAGAATTTTAATGGAAGCACAGAGCGTAAAAAAAAAAGAAGCACTGATTGATTCTTCTTGACATGAGCAGAGGAGGGGCGGCACAGTGGACGAGTGGGTGGCACCTGAAGGTTCCTGGTTTGGCTCAATAGATCACAGACCTCTTAGTCAGGCCGTAGAAAGCTTTGCATGATTGAGTCATATAAAGTGTGTGAGAAGAGTCTGCATCGTCTCTCTGATGCTTTTGAATCCAGCTCGAACGTCAAACACTGATTTCCACCTCAGGATTACGAGGCCTCGTTGTTTTCCTCTGTGAGTGAACTTCAGACTGACGATCGTTTAAAAAGCTTCAGCTTCAGGGTCCCGTGACACTTTATTGACGAACCAGTTCATCAAGAGGCCTAATGGGGAAAGAAACAATCCGTAATGAGACACGTTAACGTCCTGAACACGTGTTTTCATGTGTTCAGGACGTTGTGATGGGGAGATTTAGATGAGAGGTGCTAACATGTATGGAGCTGTTGTGTTGTTGTGGCTGCACAGGCCTGTTTCTGCTGCCTCCAGATGAAATGGGTTAAGTGGGTTAGTCCTCCTCTGCAGTCCGGTCTCATCGCTGCTCGGAGCGTTCCCATAGTGACGGCAGTCCTGCTTCCTGCCTGCGCCGCCGAGTGTGAGCGACAGTGACGCTTTAGCCCCTTTAAGAGTGTGTGTGTGTGTCACGCTGCAGAGGAGTGTGTGTTCACGCCGATGTTTGTGTGGTGACACAGATACACGACTTCTCTTCTCTCTGGCAGCAGAAAGAAAGGACGAGCGGAGAGGTGTTCCAGTTTCATTAAGAAACTAGATTGACATTCGTTCTACATCCACACTGCTTTGTTTGTTCCACATTACTACTTTGGCTGAAGGGGTAGGGCGGTCATCCTCTGAATAGAATGTCGGCGGTTCGATCCCGGTCTTCCCCGCCTTTTTTTTTTACTTCAGAGTTTTTACAAATTTTTACGTGTTATTTTTTTTATCACTTTAAGAAATCCTCTTTAATCTCCAGTGTGGTCGTCCAGAGGCTGCAGAGCTGGAATATGGGTCAGTCAGGAAAGTGTGTGTGTTTCTGAGCTTCATAGATGACTTGACATGCGCGCACACACACACACACACACACACACACACACACACACACACACTTGCATTAGCAGCCTCTCTGTGCTGTTCATGCAGATGATGATATTATCCTCTCCTGCAGTCAGACGCTGTCCCTTCTCCTCGTCGCTCGTTCTCCACTGTGAGGAAACTTCTTCACTTTACTTTCTGAGTTTTCTCAGAACAGTGGAACACGAGTGACCCCCCCCCCCCGTGACCTTTTTCCACACGGGACGAGGCCTCGACAAAGCATTCCTGTGCTCTGGAGTTACAGAAGGCGTTTCTTTCTTTCTCAGGGAACAATGCAGAGGAGCTGACTCACTCAGGAGATCTCTCATGTCTGCACCATAAACTGCTTCATGGTTGTGTTTCTCCTCATGATGATTGTTTGGAGTCTTTGCGCCGTCCTTCCACTGAAATATTCATTCTCAGCTGGAGCATGAGAACACGGAGGTCTCTCTGCTTCTGTGGGTCAACAACAGTGAGACGTGCACGCAGCTCTCACCTCCTAACGTCTGACTGCATCTTCAGTTCCCTCGAGGCACAGGCAGACACAAAGGTTTTTTTTAAACTCCTGGTTTATTTGAGTGTTTTTCTCTGAATTTAATGAAGTAAAATGATGTGAAATCGACATAAAAAATATGAAACAGACAAAAGAAATCAAAAAGAGACTGCGTCCTTCACATGCAGCTTATAGAGACTCTCTGAGACTTAAATATAAGTTCTAGTTTACTTCAATGCAGTTCAAATGAATTTTCAGTTACGACATTGGTCTTGGAAAAAGTAAACAAATTATACAGACTCAGTAGAAGTCTAGTCTCCTATTAAAACCTTAGACATCAGTTCCTTAAATATGTCTGATTGTTTTCATCAAGATCCACAAAAATTATTTGAAACTCCCTGATCTTCAGCTCTGTTCGGATCTGTGCTAAAAGTTTACTGAATCTTTGTGACACATGTCCCAGGAAATCTTTAGTTTTTAAATCTTTACTGTAGATACTACATTTCATCCTGAATACATCAGAAAAAAACTATAACCACAAACCAAAATCAAAATCACAAATGAAAACAACAAGATGTCGTGAAAAGAAAGTCTGGGGTCGTATGATTCATCATGTGGGAACCATGAATCTATGGACAGAAGTTTGTGTGTAAGATTGTTCACAAAAAGCCGATGTTGAGACACTTTGACCTTCAGGTGAAGCTCAAGTAAAGGTGAAAGGTCGTAGGATTCATCCTCTGAGGATCATGAATATGTGAAACACAAGTCCTGGCAGTCTGAGTTAAGTCCAGAAACATCAACCTTGTTTTGTCCCTGGAGGAAAAAGTTTTCATCCTCTGGGGATCCTGAATGTCTGCATGTTACTGGAGTTCAGACAGTTCAGTCGGGACTGAAACAATGAACGCAGTCGTGCTGCTTGAAGAAAATCCTCACTGCGTCGTCCTCTCTCTGCAGAAAACGTCCCCGTGGAGTTGCGGGAGCCGCTCTACAAAGACCAGTACAAGCAGGAGCACCTGAAGCCGGCCGTCTCCAAGCTGCTTCTCTCACCGGAGATCTACTGCCGAGCCCAGGCCCTGCTCACCCAGGCACACGGGGTCTCCGTGCCCGCATTGCAGGGGTCACCCGCCGACAACTCCGCCCTGCTGCAGCACCTCATAAAGAAAGGTTTCGCTCCAAAGGTCCAGGATGTAGATGTCACCGAGGAGGATCTCAGCAGCGTCCCCATCAAGACGGTACGTGTTCTGTAGATTGACTGTCGATGTCATGTTTTCATGAGTCGGGTTAAAGCGGCTCGGAGGTTAAATCTCGTCTCTGATTGGTGCAGAAATCCCACCTTGCCCTGATTGACTCTCTGATGTCACTGGCCGCCGAAGAGACGGTGGGCCGGGTTAAGATGGCGTTGGAGGCGGAGCAGATGGGTGTCGGGGCTCCATGGGAAAACGCTCTGCTCTTCTGGGTCAACAGGGTGAGACTCACGTAGAGTCTGATTCTTTATTCAGTTAATAAGGAGAGGCAACTTTATTTGTTCAGGATTTAATTTGATAATTTGTGTGTTTATTGCTAAGGAAGTTGTGTTTTGTCTGTAAAAACTACTTGACAGATTATCACGAATCTGGTGGAGGGATGCATTGTGGGTCAGAGAAGAACCGATTCAATTTAAGGGGACAGGATTCTTTTTCACTTTCTTTAACATTATAAGATAAAAGTGTTTTTTTTTTACATTTTCATTCATTTCTCAGAGAAAAATTCATGGATCTTGATTTTAAAAAATGAAGGGGAATGATATTTGTGTATTTTGGTGCAGATCCATGAATTTAAACGATTCTTTTGTCCTTTATTGTGAACCCAAAAAAAAAAAAAAATGTAATTAGCGGCCATCATCTTGTTCTTACAGCTGAACCAGAAATTGAGAGAAAGCACAGAAGAAGAGGAGCCGCTCAAACCTCAGACGTGCACAGACCTGCAGCCTGTTCAGGACACGGTAACTACACACATGCATGAAGATTCTCCATTATGTCTCTCATTGCTTCTGTTGCTCGAGCTTCTAACATCGACCTCGCTCTGCTTCTCTGTTTCCTCCCCCCTGGGTTTTTTCTCTGTCGTGCTCACGGCCAGTGTCCATCCAACCGCTGGTACTGGAAACTAGTCCCCGTAAGTGTCCTCCTCTCCTCCCGCCTGTCCTCCTCTCCGAGTGTGTCCATCGGCTGCGGCTGACATTACTGTGCTGGAAAATGCCACACTCTGTATCTGTGCCGTTAGGTGTACGACCTTCTCAGCCACTGAAATGTTAATGATGATTTTTATTACTGTTACCGGCTGATGCTGTTGAGGACACTGAGGCTTTTTCTGACTTTGTCACGTTCAGTCATCAGTTTCATCTCAAACTGCCCGTAGAGCGGAGGAGGGAGGAGGAGATGTTGGAGAGGAGGGAGGGAGGGAGGGAGGGAGGGAGGGAGGGAGGTGATTTTCCTTCCTTGCTGGTTATTTAACCACATCTGCGTCCCCCTTTGTTTGCCCCCCTTCCTCTCCTCCTCCTCCTCCCTCCGTCGCTCCTCTCTTCCTGAGCAGTACCATGTGACTCTGTGGGTGTGGCGGTTCCCATGATGACCGAACCCCCTTGTCATTTATGCTTGTTTCCCTCTCTCTGCCATCCCCCATCCAGCATGCTATCGCTTTTTGTTTGAAGGAGTCGGGGAATAAGCCGCCAGTGGTAACGTATAACACGTCGCTCTTATCTCACCCTCATCCTCCACGTCTCCCGTAGCAACACACTCGACTGACGGACGCCCCTTTTCCTCCAACGTGAACCTGGTGCTCGGGCAAAACCAACATCGTAGGAAAGAACGTTATAGAGCTGCATTATTAGGTACATGTTCGTTCATGTTTCAAGAAAATCCTTTAAACCTGGAACCAGGTCGACCAACTACGAGATGAATCGTTAACACATTTGATTCGTAGCAAAAAAACGATCGGAAAATGGAAAATAAGCCACAGGTCATTGTTTTAAGAGTGAAGGAACTACACATCCCATAAACCATTGCAAATTATCCCTTTCCAACGACTCCCAGCTTCTTAAATTGAACCTGGTTGGTGATAAAGTGTTTTAATATATTGTAGTTTGTGTCTTGTAACCGACATGATTTTCGCAGTTGTGGTAAACATTTCAATGGTAACAGAGATGTCGCCATTACATCTGAGGATTGTGGGTAGCGTAGTGCTTCAGGTTTTTCTTAAAACACAGTGGATATCGTTCAGACTTGTAGCTTCTACAGGAGCGTATATCACGGTTTCACAATCTTGTAGCTTCACGTAATTCTACCTTGGATGGTTAAAATATTATAGCTGATAATGAAGATCTTATTAAAATGGGATTTTTACTTTTGGAGCCGTGTTGTTGAGCTCTATTGGTCTCCCCCCGAACATTCTTTCTTCCAGACCAGCCAAGCGTTGGTGGTGGTGGAGTCGTAGCAGGTCTTTGGCCCTGAGCTCGTTCTTCGGCTGTCGAAACACAAAGACCCTCGAACTGCCTTGGTGGAAAAGGGGTATGACAGACTGACCAATCGCCACACCTCTCCCACGCTGTTGTCTAACGACCGACTAACCGACTGCTTACTAGTTTCCAGTCCAACCCCGAGGTTTGGATGGATCATTAAAAAACTCATCAGATTGTAACACTATTTATCCATATTTATGTTTCACTACTTTTTCTTTAAGTGTGTGTTACAAAGCCATGTTATAGGAGGCATCACGAGACCGGGTGTTAATCTTTGATTATGGAACTTTTCATCTTTGTACTCCTGCAACAAGGCTGCACAACGTCACAAGTTGTGTTGATGCACTGTTTGTGTTGTTTTTGGTGCATTCATGTGCACATTGAAAGCAAACTTAGAAGTGAAGGATCACAGTGCCTGTTTCTGCTGCATGGAGGAAATTTTCATTTTCACTTATAATCACTGACATTGTTCTCGTTTTTTTCCCAGTTTTTCTTTTTTGTATCACCTCTTTTTTTACCTTTACACTGCACCTTTTGGTGTGTGTGTAAGTGTGTGTGCGTGTGTGTGTGCGCAAATATTTCCTACATCAGGCATCCCTGGTCTTGCGCTTTGTTTCTGTGGGTTTCCTTCTATTTACGATTTTCCTGAAGTTTGGCTGCACTCGGATGATCGTGGCTGGTTTTACGTTTTTTTGTCACCCTTCTAACTTTCTGAGCTTTTGATCTATTTTTGTATCTGTGGTCTTTTCTGCATCTTCTTCATGATCTCCCCTCTCTTTCCCTGTCGTTGCAAACTCTTCCTCTTTTTTCCCTCTTCTCTCTCTCATCTTCCTCCTTCCCTTTCCTCTGTCTCTCTCTCTCTCTCTCTCTCTCTCTCGTCTCTAGATCCGTTACAGGAAGGACAAAGTGCAGTCTAAGCTGACTCCCACTTTCCCTCTGGTTTCTGCGGTCAAGGATCTGTCTAATGGCTGTGCTATAGCTGCTGTGCTGCACTACTACTGCCCCAGCCTGCTGCCTCTAGAGGGTACACACATGAACACACACATGAACACACACTCAGGGATTAATTATTAATATTTGACTGATGGATGCTTCCAAACTCTCAACAGTGTAAACGACAAACCCATTAAAAAAAAAGATTTCCAATGAGTCAAGTCAGATTTAATGAGGAAAAACAACAGGAGTTGAGCCAAAATAGTTTAAAATCACTGCAAAGAAAAGAAAGTAAAGAAGAGTAAGATGTGCAACGGTAGAATTAAAATATGCAAATAGACAAATTAACTTAAAAAGAAAATAGAATAAATTGATGAAAAGTCATGAGAAGGTATTAAAAAACAAAAAGTTTATCTCTAATATTCAGCAGGAAACTTTTGAAATTTGATGAATTCCAAACAGTTTGATGGATTTCAGCTCTTCTGGTTCAGGAAGCTGGGGATCATGGGTAATATCCGGCGTTCGGTTGTTTCAGTTCAGTGAGTGAGACGACTTTTCAATCACTCAGAGACGGAGCCCAACAGAATTAATGACCACATGGCTGCAGAGGGCGCTGTCGCTCAGTAAATGTTATGCAGTGACGCTTTAACAGAATCATAAAACAGATTCAAGCTGAATTCAAAATAAGATTTTAAAGAGAACAGAGAATCAGAGTAAGTGAAGTATCTTTATAAACGTGTTGGAGGTCTGACACAAACACACACAGATGTTACACAGTAAATATCAACATGTTTGTTTCTTGCCTCTCTTCCAGATGTGTGTCTGAAGGACACCATGTCAGTGGCGGACAGTCTCTACAACCTGCAGCTGATCAAAGAGCTTAGTGAGAGCAGTTTACAGAGCTGCTGCCCCCTGGCTGTGGAGGACCTGCTCTACGCGCCTCCAGTTCTTCATGTAAGCATCATGATACTCTCAACTAAATTCTTCTTTGTTTTTTAAAACTGAAAATAATGAAACATTTAAAATGTTGTGTCAACCTATAACCCTGAAGCTGCTGTCAGATTCAAATAAAGTTCCTCTTTCAACCAGGGACAAAGGGTCAGTGTTAGGGTAAGGTTAAGGTAATGGTAGGGTTAG